CAGCCTTAGACAACGAGGCTAGATGATCTGCGAAAATACAGCTAAGTTCATGACACTCCCGAACGTATGTTTAGTGCAAAATTTTTCATGAACAGAGCCATGGCATGCAGCGAAAACTGGCAGTTGAATACGTAATAACTGGTCTTACTAGCCCCGCTCTTTGTCTGTTAAACATCAACTGAAAATCAAACCTAGGTTCAAGAGCACGGTCTTGGGGAATGTAACATTAAATGGCGTAAGACTAAGTCAATTAAGAAACCAGCAGAAGAAGCAGACAGACACGATATATTCCTCCGCAAAACAGGGCTCTCTGCAGACTGCGAGACATAGCGTTACAACTCAGAAGACCGTACTCTTCATAGTCTCCGCCGCCGATCCTCAAATCCAGAAAACATGGGATGTTCCTGTCTTTTCCTTTGTTGCCTGACGTCAGTTGATTTGTGACTTTCCTTCTTAATTGTCTATATGAAACTGTAACACTTAAGAAATTTCGTTAGAAAACCGGAAAAGACGTTTTAGTGTGGAGAGGTACGTGTGGTCAGCTCGTAGTGGAAATTTTCCAACGGAGTTGGAGTTCTCCTTATTACAGTCTTTGAATCTGAATAATGTATACTATAGATTAGTTCGTTATTCATTTTTTTATGTCGCTGTATCAATTGCGCAGCTTTATGCATGGTAGAACGAGATTTTGTAGGATGGTTTAAGCGACGATTAAGATAACTATACAGGTTTGTACGGTGCAAAGCCGGCATTACTTATTTTGAGATACTTTATGAATGAGTAAGGTCACAAAGTGTCAGTCAGGATAACCGTTCCCCAGCCGGCATTTAAACCGGGTACCTTTAATAAGTAGAGGGCACGCGGTAGCGTAGTTGGTTGAGGCACAATGCTACATGCCGGAAGGTGGCGGTTTAGATTCTCGATAAGATCATTGGATTTTTCAATTGACCTAAACCTTCCTCCAGAACTATGGTCTTGGGGTCGACGCAGCCTCTAACAGAAATGAGTACCAGGAATATTCCTGGGGGTAAAGGGCGGCCGGCGCGTAATGCTGTCTACTTCACCGCCATATATGAGCCGACTGTCTAGAAAATGTAGGAGCCTCGACGTCTCATAACCTTATTATGGACCTCCACGACCTGTTACAGGGATAGCTTTTTTCTTTACCTTTAATAAGTGAGTCAGACTCTACTGCTGTGTCAGTCCGCTCGGTTTTACATGTTGAAGTAACCTATTCGTATCCATATGATAAGGTATCGTGAAAATTTTGGAACACTGGTCTGCCATTTTTGAACAAATGTTGTCTGATGGAATACATGCAGTTCCCAACAGGAACAGGGATTTCTCCTTCGCCTTATCGCCCACTCCACCTTAGGGCCCAAACAGCCTCCTGTCCATCGGATACCGGAATATATTTCCAGTTGTGATACCGCGAATTGGAATATTCATCTTTATCTGTTACCGAGGTTAATAACTGCTTCATTTACCTCTTCTCCGTCATTACACCTTCATGGCATGGTAATTAAGCAAGGGTCAGCTTTAAATTGTAACATACTGACAGATATTACCTCCCCATTTTGCCTTCTTTTATTACGCTTCGTGCATGCAGTGTTGCAGTTCTTTCAAATCCGGAGCCAACAGTAACACCCCCGCAATCCGGTAGTGGTGTGACGTCACAGTGGGCTTCCCCATTGATTTTTGAGAAAGGTTCTCTCTTCCCCGCTACGCC